CCATCACACATGGCAAGGTGAGAGACAAATAATATAAGCTCCTTTCGCCTTTCAAAAGAACCTTGTGATTGCTTTTTTAGCTAGATTATTCCACAGTCTGTACTTGTAAGGATTGCTTTTCTAATGAGTCAAGAAAGGTCGAAAGAAATTAATAGCCAAGATAACAGTTATCAGTCTGATATAAATAAAGCAGCTTATAACGCTTGCAATAAGCCACAATCTGCAACAGATAAAGGCATCTAAAGCCAAAGGAGGGTTCAAAAGGAAGCTGATATGGGGAATATCTACACTCTAAGTTCTCTTTTTAAGCAGATGACTGGGCCACAGTTGCTCTTTGCAGTTGTAGCTACCGAAGCCCGTGTTGCCACTGAAGCTTAGAGTAAAGACATCACTCACCCAGCACAGCTCAGCCTCTCCCATTCGATGGCTCAGATATGATCCCACAAGCCTATGTGCATGTCCTCATACAACAGGGACCATGTTTTTATTCTGTAAGTGATACCACAGTGCCAGCAAACACTGGGTAAGAGGTTCACTACAAAGCTCTCCCTTGCCTGCACTGTTGCTTTCCTGTTCCTCCCAGGACTCTGCTGCATCTTAACCCTGAAGACAGCTACATCACTATTTGTCTGCCTTTCTAACTCTCCAACCCCCTAGATTCCTGTCTGTGAGTCTCCCAAAACGTCAAAGTGGCCCCTACCTTACATGTTTGTGATCCCAAAATAATTTTACTAATTCTGCCTAAATTCCCTTGGTAACTTCTTTCAGTAAGGTACAGATCACGTGTGTAGTAAGATATATGCCATGCACAGAGACACCGCCCAACTCGCCCCCAGCCTCTTGAGAGGTGCCTCTGGAGCTTGGATATGAAGAAGCTGAAAGCAAGAGCTGAACCTCTGTGAGGGGTGAGTTTCAGGTAAAAGTCTGCTCTCAGCTCTCCCTGCTGATTAGATGCTATCCCAGGTGATGGCGTTTCATATTAATCATTTTCAAGATCCTAACTTCCTCCATGAATGCCATAATGTGTCTTAGGAGCTAAAATTCACGTTCCAAGCAAGGAGCCAGACAACTAGAAATGTAGTTGCTAAAGGACTTGACTTCCATTACTGAAGTTCCTCATGGGAGCTTGGTATTGCACGCCATGCTTTAGTGAAAGGACTCTGAAGTTCCAGTGTCATTGCTATCACTTTTGCAAAACTTAGCTCTCCACTAGTCCTATGAGTTTTAAAACCACCTAGCAAAATCAGTGATGTACATGTACCAGTATAATTTTTGTTCTAATTGGTTTAGCTTGTTTCCATACAGATATTAAATCTCTTTCACAATATCCTCTCTTCACTGGTGAATATTTTTCCACAGTAAATCATTCATTCTCAGCTGCACACACTTCCAGACTCCTTTTAGACATGTTCTATTGGCTGGATTGAGTTTTTTCCTTATATTTCAGTCCTGAGCTTTAGAATCATTAAACATTTCCAGTGACCACATGATGCTTTTATTTTTTTAATAGATAATTTATTTGCAACAGTAGTGTGAGATACAGTAGAATACAAGTGGGAACCAGATAATCATGTATTATTTTATAGTGTATATTTCAGTAGATTATTCTGAATGTTACATATGGAAATTTTAAGTCCTATAACATTAGTTCTGATATCATGGTGACTAAGCATTCCAACAATAAGCAGTCTTGTGGAAAAATTAATGTACATAGTTTGCCTGACCTCATTTGTCCTAAATTACAGGCTGCATCAGTATGATTTAGATCATATAAGTGGGTAACAAATAGTTCAGCCTATATTTGCATCTTGTCTATTTAGTAAGTCCTTAAGAAACTCAGGTACACACAGGTTGATTTGAGATACAAAAAATTGTGCATGGTGTTTTCATCTCTCACCTTGGAAAGAAAGGTTCACAATGTAAATTCTCATGTATTTTATTTAGATTAAAAACATTGGATGGTGTATAATATCCTGGATGTGTTACACAGACTGCAGATAAAATGTTGCAGAGCACAGCAGCAACTGCTATGCCACCAAGGACTAGAAAGGTGGAAATTTGAAGGCCGTGTAGCTTTCTAAGCAGATACTGTGGCAATTATTTATAATCAGAAATAAAACACGTTTTGAAAAGCTCATATGCAAATATGCGTCACAAGCCTGAACACTGCATGAGATGAGTCTTGCTCCTGCTTCCACTGAATGAATGAAAGATACAGCTTCCAAATACTTCAACGGGAGAAGAGTTATTATGACAACTCAAATGCTGCAGGGTTTCTTTTCTCTTTTTTTTTTTTTCTTTTCCTGAGAATAGTTAGAATTTGGCTGATAAAGTCCTCAGAGTTCATGCAACCCCAAATGTATTTGTGTGCCTCAGGGTAACCACCTTTTGCTTCCATCCTTTCTTTTCTGAAATCCAGCGATTAAGTATTTTGAATGTGTTTGTTAACGTGCAAATATAGCATTGGGAACAATCGTGCCATCATGGAGGAGTGAGAGACTCATCCATGTTTTTTTTAGGACATCAGAATGATGACATGCCTGGCAGACTTCCTGTGATATCCATCCACCATCATAAACAAAAGACATTTACTGTTTCCCACCCCAAACAATATATACTTTAAGAGGACACCACATTACATTATGAGATGCAATTTAAGAGCTGAAGGCCTTTAGAACATAAATCTCAAACAGTATCAAAATACATATTTTAAAATCATATTAAGGCAGAAGTATTTCCAACGCATAAAAAGGTCATGCTAGTCTACTATTTAACCAAATGTGACTATTGTAGAGTGATGATACCACTGCAAACCAACTTAGAGAAGCACACATCCCTGCAGGTCAAAGCTAAATAAAGTCCTAGGGGATGCTGAAGAGTGATGTTCCCTTACATGGATGGTGATCTCTTGTAGTGGGGCACAACTGGCTGTGGTGACAGCCACTCCTAAGGATTTACTTTAGGGTGGGTCATAAACCTCAAGTCGAACGCATCTCCTTCCAGAATTAAGTATCTTGCTGAAAGACTCTGATTTTGAAAAAAGCAGAGTGAAGTGCAAGCGAGAAGCCATCAGGCCCCAAAAAACGCTCAGGATCATTTCCACCGTAGTCAATGACAAACTCTTCCATAGGTCTCGTTCTGTGGGAGCAGGAGCAGACCTACCATATCTTGCTTTCCTACTAATGTCCAATGGCATGGCAACATCCTTTACTGTCTAGTGGTATCTTTATTTTAGCTTCCCTTCTTTCCCCTAATCTTTTCAGGAGTCTCAGTGTCATCTCTCTGATACCCTCTTTGAGTGATGAGTTTTCCTAGAACTGGTTCTGAGTGTTTGCCACACTTCATTAATAGAAAGTGTTTCAAAGAAAAAATCCTCCTGAGGTGGCTGGTGCTATGCTCGTATTATGCTCACCTTGGCAGCAGAATCAGGCTGGCTAAGGAAAATCAAGCCATTTGTGCAAAGGACCCTTAAGCATAAAACAAATCACAGTTTCTTATTTAAATAACACAGTACCATGCAAAATTCACAAATTAAGAGCTTCTAAGCAGTGTCTTTAAATACAAAAATGCAAACCTTTTTGCTTAAAAATCCACCAGTGCTATGTGTATTGCTCTTTACCTCTTTAAGCCACGCAAAAGGTTTAATCAAAGTGTCCCTTTAACAAATACAGCATTTGAAGGGGAAAAAAATAAAAATAAACAAAAACCACCAAACCCAGAACAAATGCCTAGACAAAAAAAACCCACACAAGTTTTGATCCTTCTCATTGAATCTATTTAGCATGGTATTTACCCATCTGAGCAGAGGGATGCAGGGGTCTAAACACCACACCTCTGTTGCCCTTCCCCAGGAGAGTTAGTCCTTGCTGTGGGAAGGAGCTCTTATCTGTGATTTGACATTGTCCCTTGCAGGTCCCTAACCATGCTCATGCCCTTGAACCGTGATGCTGTCACCATGTTGGGGCACAGCTAAGGACAAATATCAGCTGTTTTACCAGACTCCACAGGCAGCCACTGCTGTGATGCTGCAACAGGTATGTGACGGGGAGTGTGTCTGCCGGGAGGGCTCCCGCGTCGGGAGCAGGGCTGTCGCTGGGTCACCCAAGGAAGCCCTGTCCTGCACCTGTGTGTGCTACATGCTGTGCCTGGGTGGAATAAGGGAGAGATCATGGCCCAACTGCAAATGCATGAAGGAGTCATGAATCTCATGCTCAATGCAGGGAGCTTGCACCACACTAACAGGGTTTAAGACAAGAAAAGTGTGAAACTAGGAAAATGACTATGGCAGGACATGCTGGGACTATACAGTGCTGCGAGTTGGGATAGTAGAATTGACCTTGGATCACAGTGCATAGATTTGAGGGTAGCAGTGGTTTATTATCTCATTAGAAACATCTAATTCCCTGTAATAAAGATTGCATGTAGAGTATGTCAAAGAACAGACAAGGCTATTACAGCCCACAGTCAGGACTAATGCTTTTTTCCCCCCTCTTATTGCTAAATAGGCAGGAGTAGCTTTTCAGTTTCAAAATAAAAAATATATAATTACAGTAATAATACCATGCTCCTGACTGCTCTGCAGCTGCATATTGTAAAACTCAAAGCCACTGATCAGAAACAAAAGCAGTAAGTCAGTAACAGCTTTACAGAAATGTTCTGCTGGGGTGATTATGTCTGTCAAAATACTTCTATAAGGGAAAGACTCATTATCGAACATATTTCGTGTCCCTTTCCCCCTAAAAAAACCCTGCAAATGCTTGCATCTTTGCCTAACAACAGATAAAGAAACGTTTGCCGGACGTGTAATTAAGACTATATGAATACTGTAACAAGCATGGGTCCTGTTCAAATAGGCATCAGTCACAACAAAAAGCCAGAAGCAGTCATATTTTTATCATCCATTATTAAAAAATATTTCTCAATCAGTATTTCAATACAGTTAAAAGTTAAAAACCCTCTACATTACTAATAAATTAAAAAACCCATATCTCCAACCATCTTGTAAGAAAGTAGGTAAGTAATTTAAACCTTTAGTTTACATAAATTAGCACAGAAATGTGTATTTGAACAAGTGCACTGAAAACAGATATGCCTTCTTTTCTTCTGATATCTCTTATTTGAGTTATTAAGTAACAGGAAAGCCTTCATATTCTTTGCATGACCTTGAGAGTCTGCTAACACTAAATGGTCAACAGTCAAACCCCAGGAGAATGTTTCACCAGATAGACAATGACAAGAGGGAGCATGAAGTACAGTCAAATGCTTTTCAGCCTTATTACAGTAGACTTCAGCATTCAGTTTCGGCATATTTACTCTTGGGAAGGGATGAAGGTAATATATTTATAGCACAAATCACATGAATGAAATTCGATGGGTTGATAGAAATTTTTTTTTTAAGCCTATTAAAATATCATTTTTTCAGAGGTAGTTTGCAAGGCAACAGTGATGTACATGAGTGGAAACAATACTCCTTTGCTTGACTGTAGATAAAACTCTTAAATACTGTTGGTGCTGTCCCTGAACCTCGCAGAGAACGCTTAATGGATAAGATGTTCAAATCGGAGCTAACAACAGCCAATTAAGTGTCAGAAGAACAATCTGATAAGTAGGTCTTCATGTCTATGGGCCTTTCCTGATATGTCTTAACTGTCAATCTGAATGTTAAACATCTCTATCTTTATCTCATTATTGACTGATTTATTAAAGGAGAATGCTTTCATCTCTTTTTTTGACTTTGGGGTTGCTCCAGAAAGAAGGAAAGGAAAATACTAGGAACAACTCTTAATTTGGAATAATAGATGGGGAATCCTAATTATAGCAAAGTCCTAATCTTCCAACTGAGCAGGCGTATGGTTTGGTGACACCACTACCATGCAGCTGCCCACACCATACCTGTCAAGAAATGGTAGATGCTCAGTCTAGAGGAGATCTGTTTCTTTAATAGGTGGAAGGATATCTGTGGACGTGCTAGCAGGCTGCTCTCTGCTTTCAGTGCTTCTTGCTAGTCATACAGAAGACAACACCTCGCTGGATGGATCTCTTCCTTTCTTGTCCTCACCCCTGTCGATATCAATCACATGAACTATGCCAGGCTTCAGGATCAGGTCATCGGTCTCTACGTGGCTCCTGTTATCATCCACCTCGATGTACTTCCCTTTGGACGGCTGGGTAGCCTTACTGAAGACATCTTTAAAACGGCGCTTGAGTTCAGTGTCTGGGCAATAGACGTACTCATAAAGAGCACCAGCAAGGACTGCTCCTATTATTGGTCCCACCCAATATACCTGAAAAAAGAGGTGGAAAAAAGACAAGCATTAAGCTCTAGAGCAAATAAAGAAGCCAGGGCCTCAGAGAAAAGCATGTCACTAGAGACTTTGCCCAGAAAAGTTTCGGCAAAATGCCCTGGCCCAAACCAGCTCTCCATAAATGCATGGTCACATAATTCCCTGGCTTTCATGAACTGGGATGAAATCTGCCATCTTACCAGTTTATGAGGCAGGGAAGTGTAGCTACCATAGATTTCACAGATGATGACCTGGAGCTCAGCAATTAAGTGACTGCTCTAAAATCAAAAGGCAGTCTCTTAGGCAGTTAATGGCATTAGTCCTAGGTCATTTTCTTTTTTCTTTCTGCCTCCCCCTAGTCTCTTCTCACATATATTTCACCCCCTTCAGAAATACTCCCTAGTGACCTTGAATCCAGTCATCTAAACCACCTCGCAACCATGGGTGCAGCTCTTCCCTAAAAACTCCTCTCATGCCAGCGTTTAGAGAATCACCAGGCAGTGGACACCACGGAGCAGAGGAGAAGAGGGACCTATGCTGACATGTCCGTGAGGTACAGTTACTACTTCCCTGATGCCTGAAAAAGATTTCAGTCTACGTGTCTGGTTACCAACACTCTGGGACAGACTGGCTGAGCGGCAGTGAAGCTATGGACACCTCCCATGGACAGGCACAGAGGCATCCTCTCTGGCTGGCCCTACCTTCTCCTGTTAATAGAGAGCGGCTTTCCCCCCCTCTTTATGTGAGATTTAACTTACTGTCTTTAAACTTTGTCCAATAAGACAAAAGTACAGGTACTTCATCATCCTTATTTGGATCAACCATATCTATAACATTTCTTGAGACAAAAAAGGCCACAGATCCTGATGGAGTCATGTATGACTTGTCAAATACAGCTCTGTAGTCACCTACAACATATAGCTGCTCTGGCATAGCTTTGCTTTTAAACTAGCAGGGGTAAGATGATGGAGAAGCAGGCCCACATCTTCAAACAGAAATAGTTTTGTCAAGTTTTATTAATCCATCTCTTTCCAAGAGGCCTCCTCTAAATTTTCATTGCTCATTGCCAGCTGTAGACAACATATGTGGATGGTCTGCAAGATGACACACAAAATGAATGCCAATGTAGAAAAAGTGTTTTTCTTTCTGCATTTTCACCCAAGGCAACAATGAACTTTTAAGGAAACAAACCTTTCCTAGTGTATACACAAACAGTTCTACTTCAGTATTTCAGACTCAGATTTCCAAAATAATCCAAATTTGGCTTCTGATCCTGCAGAATCAAACAGGCAGCCAGCTACCTGATTAACTAATTTGAATAAGCAAATACAACCGACATACACAACTTTGTAGGGTATGTATCTATTTCAGCATGACATGCAGCAGTTGTGTAACATTAGTAGGTGCAGAAGCCCACGGGCTTCTGTCAATGGCATGCCAATGTCACTGCTCTAGAGGAGGAGAAAAGGCCAACTTTCCAAGTGACCAGGACAGTAGCTAAGCTTCGCCTACAAGTTTCTCCATGGTACATTTGTTTATTGTTTATAGCTTTAGTTATAAATTACAGGCTCCCTCAGAGTATGGATAATCAATCCTGTGAAAAACTACAGCAGTTTTTCATATGAACAAGCCATTCACTGATAACTGGGTAAATCTGCCTCAATAGGATAACTCTTGGGAACAAAGTTACACATAGTATCGTGTTTGCAGAATTGGAGCCTTAGGGCCTGAAGACAATGCTATTTCTGTTATTAGCTGCAGTGGGAGCAATGTGGGCTTCATACTTTAAAAATCAAGAAAATCCTTATATGCGCTGTAATATGCAGCTCTTACAGTTAGCATTGAAAGTGTCCCTAGAAGTGCTTTCCCTGTCTTTAATTAGGTGAGGCTGAGCTGCAGTCCATCTCTCCCTTATAAAATGTGAACTGTTTTTTAATAAGTTTAATAGTGAGATGCTATAGAAAATGACTGCATCATTCACAATCTGTTTATCAAATTGTTTCGTACGCAAATACTCCTAGTTAAGCTGACGCTTTCAAACTGAAGCAGGTAACATCTGGTCTGGTCTGCAAAGAGCAGACGGCAACCCCTTCATCTCTCACTGCGGGCATTTGCTGAGGCAGGTTCTCCCCCGGGAACCAGATCACAGAGGGTCCCTGCTCTCATTTTATATGTCTGCCCCAGTTTGCTGCAGAACCAGGTGAAATGTGAAGCTGACAGAATTACTTCCATAACTTCTCACCAGCATGATGGGGGGGTTTGCAATCTGCCTCCGAGGATTTTTCTTTCTAGCGGTTCAATTCTTTCAGTCTTGCTGGATTGCTTTTTTTGTTTTGAACTTTTTGTATGATTTCCTTTCTACCCCAGCTACTACCTCCACAAAACGGCCCCTGAATAGCAAGATGCTGTTCCAACGTGCTGCATACTGCACCGCAGTCCTAGGTGAGGAGCATAATTATACCAAAGCTTGTGGCAGGTCAGCGCCTGTCTTCCTCAGTGATGGTCTCTATGGGACGTACTGGGATGGATAACTAAAAGCAAATGATGTATGGAAAATCCTGATAGCTGTTTGTCGCTGTGGTGAAGGAAGCATGAAAGCTGAGTTACCCATTGGTTTTCCCATTTCCCCATGATCACAGCAGGTCCAAATGATCGAGCAGGGTTCATACTGGCACCGGTGTAATTGATCTAAAGCAGAAACAAAATGCTACCTGTTATTAAAGGTTGTTATTCCATTTCTACTAGTCCTTGTATTATGGGACACCCTGGTTTTGTATGGCTTTTAATCTCGACAGCTGGTATTGTTACTCTCCCGAGTCTTATCACAAAATTAACAAAGTCATCACATAAACAGGCAGAAAAGATCTGGTGCAACACCCTACCCAAGGGGACCCTCCTGCTACTCCAAAGGGTTTTGGCGTGGATCCATAAAGAATATAGCAGCTATATAGCTGTAGCAGCTATAAAGGCCACAGAAGTTTCCATTTACTTCCGAAGTAGTCATAAAGGGACAAGGGGTCTATTTTTTTAAAGAGAAGCCATTAACTTACAGCAAATAAATGTCCAATTGCAACAGAAAATCCAATTGCTAAAGCTACTGAACCAGTGACATCACTTCGTTTTGAATCACAGCTGGCAAAAATAGTAAAAACCAGCTGGAATGTAATTATCAACTCCACCAGGAGTCCATGGCCAGCGGAAAGATCCCCGTGTACCTGGAAGAAGGGAAAGAAACACCGGAGATGAAACAAAGGTGATTCTGTAAATCGGAAAGACACCACATACATTAATTGTATTTCAATGAAAGGTATTTCTAAATGGTACACATTGAAAGACAAAAATGAAATTTAGAGGTACAGGTTTCCCCCACCCTTTTCTCCCGCCCCCCCCTTTTTTTTTTTTTTTTTTTTTTTAAACCCTATG